ATTTTCCTTTAATTTCTGCAAGGATAACATCATTGATGACTTTTTCTGTGATTTGCTTCCCCTGGTGAAGCTGGCCTGTGGCAGGAAAGATGGATACCAGGCTCTGATGTACTTCCTCCTGGCCTCCAATGTGATCTTCCCCACCACGCTCATCCTGGCCTCCTACCTCTTCATCATCGCCACTGTCTCCAGGATCCGCTCCACCCAGGGCCGCCTCAAAGCCTTCTCCACGTGCTCCTCCCACCTGATCTCTGTTACCTTATACTACAGCTCTATTCTCTACATCTATTCTCGCCCCCGCTCTGGCTATTCTTTTGAGAGCGACAAAATAGTTTCCACATTTTACACTGTAGTATTCCCCTTGTTGAATCCCATGATCTACAGCCTGAGGAATAAGGATGTGAAAGAGGCTCTGAATAAACTCTTAAAATAACCAACAGTCTCTGCTTCTAAGGAGACCCAAAGATAATTTTAGATCAGGTCACTTACATTCCTAGCAGAGCTGCTGCTGTGCTCCATCAGGTCAAGGATTCTTGTGACACAAGTTTCTACCTTCAACACATGTCAGTTCAAGAGACCTAAACGAAGAAAATTAGGAAAATTTAGGAAATGAAATATGAATATAAACTATATGTATTTGGATTGAATTTCATGTTAGTTTAAATTAAAGACAAACATAAAACTTGAGCCCTCAAATTCTCTTCTACCTTCATAAAGTGACAGAACATTCCATTTCTTTAGCCTAAGAATATTTGGCTGACTGATACATACAGAGCAATATCTACCTAGTTACTAGAAATAATAATAGCTGTGCTGATCACTTTCAATATTTTCCTATAAATAGTAACTAAATACACTCTTTTAATGGATTATCCTAAGCATTTTTATAAGTATTTTTCCCCCATAAATACCAACAATAAGATTCAGAGGTACCCAAGGAATAACCTGATACAAACTAGCTCCAATAGGCATTATCTTATCTTGCCTTATCTTACATAAGTTTCTCCAATCAAGATCCCATAGATATGATTTTTGTGATTCTCTTTATAACACACAGAGCTCCTCACAGTGGTGAAGGTATAAGGACTTCTATATCCAAATGGTGATATCTAGAGCATCAAAATTCAGTTATTATAATAAGAAAAGTTTATAACTTTGGTGAAGTGAAACACCTTGAAACATGCAACATAAAAGTGTATGAATGCATATTACTCAAAATAAGACTTTATATAGACAAAGCATATAAGTATAAAGCAAGAAAGAGTATTTCACCTAGCATAATGTTGTCTAGGTTCATCTATGTTGTTGCAAGCAACAAATTTACATGTTTAAAGCTAAATAGGATTCCATTGCATTTATATTCCACATTCTTTTTTCCCTTTATCTGCTAATTGGCACTTAGGCTATTTTTCCTAGTTCAGCATTTAACTGTGTTTCTCAATTAATACATATTTGCCTTGGTAAATTAGTTCCTCTAAAACTTGTTTTAGAAGTAAGTCAAATAGTGTCTTTCAAGTTTGGTAATGACTGGTCTCTGAGTTCCAATAAGTTATGCAAAGAATACACAATAAGAAATAAGATCTTCACAGCTCAAATGTTTGGCTTCCCTTTAAGAGCAATAAAGCAAGGGAAAAAATGAATCTAGCCTGTTATTATTCATATGTGTATTCCAAATATCAAAAACATTAATCTCATGGAGACAGGGAGTAGAATGATGCTAACCTGAGGCTAGGAAGGATAATGGCGAGGGGACATAAAGTGGGGATAGTTAATAGGTACAAAAATAAAGTTAGATGGTTAGATAGAATAAAAAAAATTGATAGAACAATGAAGTGACTATAATCAACAATAAGTTGAAATATACCTTAAATAACCAAAAGAATAAATTGGAATGTGCTTAACACAAAGAAATGCTAAATGCCTAAGGTAGTGGATATATATATATCCACACACACACATTATGTACCCATAATAATTAAAACTTTAAAAATAAAATTAAAAACACAGTTCCCTATGTTTCCTTCCATGGGATTTTAATTCATTTGTAAAGATATAAGTAACAAATATATGATATACACACCTAGGCATATGGGAAGATATTGTACATCCTGTTCAAAAAACAACTATTTTTAATTTAAGAAATATCTCAGAGATGATTATATAACTGCACATTAATTAATTAATAGCCTAACTTGACAAGTATTTACAAAATGCCACTTTACAAGGTGTTGTACAGAGAACAACACCTCTGCTAGGGCAGAGATAAATACTACAGGAGAATATTATAAATGTAAATTTCCCAAGTTTCAATGAAGATTCCAAAACCCTCCATTTAGAGGAATATCAAACCCTGAGTAATCTCAACAACAAAGGGCATCTCCAAGGCACATTGTAATGAACCTGTTCAAAGTCAAGACTAAAGAGAAAATTCTGCGAGCAGCCAGGAGTAAGCACCAATGGACCAATAGGGGCAGATCCATCAGGATGACAGTGAACTTTTCAGCTGACACTTCCCCAGCTAGAAGAAAATAGTCACCTTTAACCTTCTTAAACAAAACAATTTGCAGCCCAGAATTCTGTATCCTGCTAAACCAAGCTTCCAAATTGCTGGAAAAATCAAATCTTTTACTGATATGAAAACATTGAGGAAATTCACCACAATTAGACCATCTCTATAGGAAATACTGTTCTCCACACCAACCACCACAATGATCCATCAGAAAAGTAAATACCCAGAAACTAAAGGACAAAACCTAGCTTTCACAATGGTGCAATAGATAAAACTAAGTAACAGATAGTTACAAAATAAGATGAACAGAACTCTACCATACTTATCAATTCTTTCAATATTTGTTAATAGCTTGAATCCCCACTTAAGAGGCAAAGCTGGCTGAATGGATAGAAAAAAGCACAAACCATCCATATACTGTTTCCAGGAAACACATCTAACCTTGAAAAGATAAATCTAGATTCTGGGTAAAGGGATGGAAAACAGTATTTCAGGCAAATGAAAATCAGAAAAAAGGAGGAGTCAAAATCTTATTTTCAGATACAAGTAGATTTCAATTCAAAATTTATGCACCCAACTTAAATGCTCCCAGATTTATGAAACAAATCTTGATTAGCCTGAATAATATGATATCATATAACCCCATAATAGTGGGGGACTTTAACACATCTGACAGAACTAGACAGAACCTCTAAACAGAAACTAAACAAAGATACAAAGGACTTAAATGTGATCCTAGAACAAATGGGCTTAACAGAACTATAGAACACAGCATCCCAACCCTAAAGTTGGGATATACCTCTTCTCAATAGTCCATGCAATTTACTCCAAAATAGATCATATCCTAGTATACAAATAAAGCCTCAAAAAAATTAAAAGAATTGAAATAATACCTTGCGTTTTCCACAAGGCAATATAGGTGAAACTCAAATTCAACAAAAATTTTCAGCCCCACACAAAGGCATGCAAGGTAAACAACCTTATGCTGAATTGCATCAAGGAAGAGATAGAGGAAGAAATTGTTAAATTTCTCAAAGATAACAACAATGAAGCTACAAGTTACTGCAAAAGCAGTCCTAAAAGGGAAATTGATCACATTAGATGCCTACATCTGAAAAACAGAAATATAGGACATCAACAACCTAATGAATCACCATAAGGAAATGGAAAAGAAGAAAAATATAATCCCAAACCTAGCAGAAGAAAATAAATACCAAAACTAAATCAGAAATAAATGAAATTGAAAACAAAAGATCATTTAGAAAATTAATGAACCAACAAATGAAAACAAAAGATCATTTAGAAAATTAATGAACCAACAAAGAGTTGGTTCTTTTTAATGATAAATAAAATCAGAAATCATTTGGCCAGATTAGCTACAAACAGAAAAGCCAAATCTTTAATAACCTCAATCAGAAATGAAAAGGGGGAAATAATAGATAACACAGAGCTACAAGAGATTAACTTTGACTACTGTAAGAAACTCTATGCTGAGAAATTTGACAATGTGAAGGGGAGAAAATTGATCAATACCTGGAATCATGCCCTCTCCCTAGACTCAACCAAGAAGAAATAGATCTCTTGAGTAGACCAATATCAAGCACTGAGATTGAAGAAATAAAAAAACTTCCAATAACAATAACAAAAAAAAATCCCTGGAAAGGACAGCTTCACACAAGAACTATATCACATCTTCAAAGAAGAGCTTATACCCATACTAGAGAAATTATTACAAAACATTGAGAAGGAATGTTCTACACACACACACACACACACACACACACACACAATGAAATAAGAATCACCCTGATTCCAAAAACCAGGAAAGAACACAACTAAAAAGGAGACTAATTTCACTAATGAATATAGATACAAAAATACTCAATGAATTCTAGTCATTTTATGAGATTTTCCTAATCATGGAAGAGTCACTCACCAGTCAAAGAATATAATCCTAGGCCCTTGTTTCTATTCTTTCCAAAAATAGCTTTTGACCTCTGCCCCTGGACTTTCTCTGGGCAGCTCTGTTCCCCAGAATGTGGAATTCCTTAGCAATCCTAGGGTGCTCTGTGGGATTCTCTATCTCTTACTTTCCTTTAGTCCTTCTAGGACTGGGCTTGTGCGAATGAGCGCAGGATGGGCTGGATGGAGGAAATGTTGTTCAAGCCCCCTTGTATTGGTGGAACTGTTTCTCTATAGCACAGTTCAGTAGGTTTTATAGAGATTTAAAGATGCAGCATTTTGCCTAATTTCAGAATTTCTCACCCCTTTGTTTCCATAACTCAAGTCTGAATCCTTGGGGATTCTATCACAAGGCACTTTCCCAAGCATATGGTGTTGCATTTTGTTTACTATTTTAGTAGAAAGTGTCTATGGAGTGCACACGTAGGGGCTCCAATTGAACGAGAACCTATCAAGAATAGCAATACTTATTCTAATGGTCAGGGTAAATACAAAAAGGCTTATAGAATAAGGATATGAAGAAAGAAAATATTCTTGTAAAGCATTTATTTGGGTTACAACTCTGAAGTGCCAAAACATAGTCCACAGCATTTCTTTTCAATTATATTTTCCTAAGAGTCATAGAAGAGGAGAAACATTGTGGCTTCCTGTTTGAGTGTTCAGGTGAACAATCACAGGATTAAGCTTCGACAGAGTCAACTCATCATAATTTTATAATGTCTATGTTCATGTATTTTGTCACAAAAATTAATCTCTCAATCCATTACCCTTAATCTACCCTTCATACCATTAGTCCACTGCAATCATTTAAAGAAGTGTGATGCAACTGGATTCTATAGATTATCAATACCTCATTTCTTTCCACTACACATTCTCCACCTAGTCTTCAAATATATATGTAAACAACCTAATCCCACGGGAATGGTTATCTTCTTGTCCTATTTCTAGGATCAGCATCAGTC